AGACAATAATGATCATTTAAGTGTGTAGATATGAGCACAATTTGGTATAAATACAACGGTAAAGGCGATGGGAACTACTACTATATTGAACGAAAACACAAGCGGAGACATTCGGATGTATTTGAATACAAAATTATAGAACGTCTTAGAATCATACAGTAAATCTTTTCATTTGCAAAATGTTCAATAATTGTCTCAGACTTCATTGTTCCTGCATTCCCATACCAATTACTTTCTGTTCCCGTTTTTTCCTTCTCAACCTTCTCAACCTTCTGCTGCCAGACATTCTATTCCTGACTAGCGTTATATACTACTTATATCGACATAAGTATCACACACCACACTAATATCGTCTAAGATTCGATTATACTAGTCCTTATTGTGCGTTCCAGTACTGAACTATTTGATCAAGTTATATACTTTGCATGGCCTAAAATAGAAATGATTGCCAAATGTATAGTAAACTGTTCTTATGAATCCAGTTGGACGGATTAGATTTTAATAATTTTAACTCTACGTTAGCAGTATTAATGATATTTGAGTTGTCATTATTATTTAATTCAGGGTTTTACAATGAAGCTTTGTTGAACACATAGTTACAAAATATATTTTCTCAAATACAAACAATCACAATGTTAAGTTCTTTTTAAAAAAAGTTTTATGTGTAATGAAACCACAGATTGCATGATTTTGAAATGTTGTAATGATTTTTCAACTAAGTTTATTCAAATACTTATGTTCATCATTAATCATTACTAATGTAACCATGATCTGAATAGGCTATATAGGGAATCGAAAAAGAGAAAGGCCAAAGAGCACATTACTTCGAGAAATAAAAGCAGGAATGAAAAGGATGAATAACAAGTGGAACGAGTTGGAAAGAATTGTCCATGACAAGATTAGATGGAGAGTGTAGATGGTCGGCCTATGTTCCTCCATGAGGAGTAACAGACGTAAGTAAGTAATATTATCTAGTAGTTGGAAAACTAACCGAAAATAAAATACAAAAACTTATCTATCAGTTGAATAAAATAGGATTTTGTAATATTTAACTAAAAACAATAAATGAGTGATAACATTTGTCCAAAGAAAGAAACCCGGTAGAAAAAACAAAAAAAAACGAAACAATCTAGTTTTATAGGTATCATTACCAAAGTCTGACTTATAAAGTTCAAATAAATTGAGTACTGAGTAGATTGTTATCAACAAATAGTAATATATTTCTAATATTTCAATGAGCAGAAAAAAAATGAGATTTTTTTGACGTTTTATGACTTAGTGTAAACTATTTCTTCGAGAATAAATTCATCAAATTCAAATTCAACCAAATTTAAATAGTATAAAGAAATGAAAGCAAGAATATTAGATACGATCAATTAAAAGGAAAAAAACAGATCTGAACATTTTATTGATTTGTGCTAAGTTTAGATTAATTTTTAATTTGGTTCAGTGCTTCCAAGTTTTCCATGATGATCTGGCTTCAATTGACTCATAATATTAACTATTGATAGTACTTTTTCTATTTATAATCAAGTTTTACTTCTATACTGTCATGATAAACAGATATTAAATAAAACAAAGGCATTAAAATGAACCATTTTATGTAACATATATATAACTATATCTACTAACATCAGCAAAGATCATCTTTCCGAGTTCATCAATAGTATATATATATATATATATATATATATATATATATATATATATATATATATATATTAATAGTAAGAATTAACTCATTTCATTCTACCTTTCTATACATTAAAAATTTTTCAGTAAGCTAAAATCAATAACAGTGATAATCTTTTACTCTGATTACCTATCTTTTGATTAACTTAAATAATTCGATATGGATCATTTAGATTATTGAGGTCAAAATAAATTTTCATCATCATCATAATTAATTATGCAAAGAATGAGGAAAAGATATTGATCTTTTTCCATTAAAGAAAAAAGAATAACAAATGAATAAAATAAGAGAAGAATAAGTGAAATAGTTTATGTAAACACTAAAAAAAATATCAGAAAGGGTTTTTGTGGAGATTGTAGTAATTTTAACAGTTGAGATCATGAGTCAATTGAACCTAGACCACAACTGGAAGGCCGTTTTGTCTTAATATGGGACTCTAACTTCAATTGACTCATGATTTCAACTGTTGAAATTAAAAAAATACTTTTTCCCATGTTTTTTCTTGGTGTTTTCACTTATGTCATTAAAAAAAAAGAAAATGCAACTGTAGATAAGGCGTAGTCATTAGTATGAATAGATAAATTAAATGAATTAAGTTTATCAGTTTGTCATGTTTTACTGAAATATGAAATTATCAGTAATTATCAAGATGGGAATTTGTAGAAATTGTAACAATTTCAGTAGTTCAATTCATGAATCGATTTAAGCTAGACCACCACCACCGATGGTTTGGAGAATTACGAATCTTTTTACAATCTGGTATAAATTTAACTGACCCAGATTTGTGTGTATATTGTTTGTCTGTAAATTTTTCTATTGCTACCAATTTGTTATGAATCGAATTCAAATATTAGAGGAAAGCTTTTAAGAAAAAATTAGTATCACTAAATAGTATAACCATTCTTAAACCGAACCTACTAGCCAATGTAATGTCCTATATCATTCACAATGGGTTTTTTAAACGTAAAGCAAATGCGTAAAGAATTGTTGAAATTAGTGCTTATTATCTTTCACGACTGAGCATTACTTTTGCTAATGCATCAATATCAAATCGTTCATATCTACTTGATTTTTGGAAGTATCTAGCCTGTCGTATGTTCTAATGGTGTTCTCGTAACTTTCGTGTTGCCTGATCTTCCAAGGGTGATGGAAAAGTGCATGACGGTATTGTTGTGTGCTATGTTCAAAGAGAATTGTATGCTATATGTATGCAAATCTGCCCCGTTATTGTTCCTATTATTGTTCAATTCTCTTAGATACGAAAAATTGAATGCAGATTTTTCGCAAAATAATGACATTTATATTACTATATTTCGATTAGTTTTGTTATGATAGTATTAAAGAATGAAAATTACAGTCGTATATTATAAGTAGTAGGTTAAGGAGTTATTTGCACATTCCATAGTCTATGTAGATTTTTCTATATGATTTAATTTTAATAGTCATTACAATTGTGATTTTTAATAGAAATTCTATGGAGACTAATAATTATTAAATAAAAGTCATTAACAGTATAAGGTTGTAGATATTATTAACTTTTTTTAATTGAGATCATGAACTAATTAATATTAGACCAGCATTGAAAACCTGGAAGCACTGGAAGTATTAAACTTTAATGAAATCTCTTCTTCTGACAATCGACAACTTTTAAATATTTATGACAATAAAAGTCTGTCGAAGTACTTCTGTTGTTGTTCAGAAGAACACCAAAAGCTTCTCGACCAAATCATTCAGTTTAAAAACCAAAACCTCACCTAAACCATCTAACTAAGCTACAAATTTTTCTTCACTATCATTCAAAATTTGTAAATTATCAATTGATTTAGAATAATTTGAAAAATGGATCTGAATAACTGGTATTCAATTTTTAATTTTCTCATATGATTCAATAAACTAACTTTGACTGAGATGAAATGATAAACCATAAAACATTTTTTTATAAATTGTCATATATTCACAACTCTTAATACAAAAAATAATCTGTCGCTAGATATTAATTTTAAGAATACTGGATATATATAGTTTATCAAGCAAACGAATATAATTTTATAGTTGAATCCATAAATCAATTGAACCTAGACCATTATTGAAAACCTGAGAGCACTGAACTGAAATTAGACATTAACACCGTTGGATCACAGCTCAATGGTCTAGAGGTTAGGCGTTCGCACGCGAGACTGATAGGTGTTGGGTTCGTATCTCGCGGGACGAGATCGTGGATGCGCACTGCTGATAAGTCCCATACTGTGATAAAACGGCCGTTTAGTGCTTCCAGGTTTTCCATGTTGGTCTAGTTTCAATCGACTCATAAATTCGACTATAAAACTGCTAAAATCTCTGCAAAACCCCTTCTGAAAATTGTAAAGTATATTTCTGTTGAATCTATTGAAACTTTAGCAATAATTCAAAAAGACAGTTAATCGTCTTTCTACTTCATCAATTTACAACTTACTCGTAAGTAAATTTAAAGCTATCGTTAATTACATTGAGAATGGTTTCATTATAAGTATGAATAGTTTTACACATTCAAATAGCGGTGAGACTATAATTTATGGATGACCTTTGAACGACGCTAAAGTGGCCTTGGGGGTGTACACCTAATAATTATGACCAAATGAGGGTTATAAACCAGTATGAAGAATTAGAATTATGATTTATAGTTGATGGTGAGGGTTAGGAATTACATTTAGGGTTTGCATCACGAACTGACATCAGCTATAATGCCCAAATTCTATTTAGCCAAATAGATGGGTGAATTTCGCGCCAAAGTTCGAGACCTGTTATCTTATACCTGATTGGCTCGTCCACAAATTCTAGTCTCTCCAATGAACGAATACTGTAAGTAAATTAGTAAATAAATAAATTTTGGCAAATAATTGTTTAATTACAATTCAAGCACAATTATATCATACATTTATTTTACTGTACCGTTAAGATGAACAATTAAACATAAATTTGCCCAAATACCTAAAAACCGTATAGTTTCTTCAATAATATCAAGCATTGCATAAGTCATGCATTAGCAAACGAAGAGAATGTCATCATATTAATTTCTCATATGGAAAATAAACTCAAATTTACCAAATCAATAATAATATTTAGATTGTGCAGCGATGGTTTAGTAATTAAGACATTCCATTTTCAACCAGTATTTCCCAGATTAAAAGATCATTTCATTTACTTTAGTTTGAGCAATCGAATAATATCATTAGCTTTTACACATAGAGTGTAGTTTATACCGAATAAAATAGTTTAAATTAAATTGAATAAAGTAAAAATTAAAACAGTATAAAACGTAGAAACTTACTCGGTTCATCATCATTTTCATCAGTATCAGACTCTACACAACTAATATACGATGTAAATATTTCTATGCACACATAAATAGTACAAAGTATACAAAATACATTCCGCATCTGTAAATATCTCAATTATCTTAATTAAACCGGTTGATATATTATTTTTTTTATTTATTTGGAAGATTGTTTACATTCAATGATTAAACCTTTTTTTTGATTACATCATCGGTAACAATAATTAGTGATAAATATAGTAAAGAAAAAGAAAAAGATTAATGTGGACGGTTGTTTGCAAATTTTTTTCTTTCAAAAGTAATTTTGTCTTAATGAAATAATCCAAGAGTGTGGTTGTTGTAATTTAACTAATGTCATTGGGAAACTTTTGCCAGAATTATAAGGCATTTTTTCAACTTATATATGTATATATTTATTTATAAAGAGAATATATATTTGATATTTAAGTCTTATAATCTAAGATATTGTCACATTATCAAATATTTCCCTCTTTTCTATAGTTATATATGATATACGTGTGTAGATCGTCATATATACTTCATTTATTATCTAATCATATTGACTTCGTGTGTGTACAATTCTTCTAGTTCATATACAGACAGTCTTCTTCATTTGTATGTTCATTATTATGTTTAATCTTATGATTATTGTTATTTTAAGCCCAGGGCTGGCATGGTCCTTTGACTGGGTAATGAGAAATATTTTTTTAAATGAATTCAGCCTATCCATGTTCATCTGCTGACTTGTGTATTAGTTTATTTGTTAACTGACTTGTTAGCTTGTTTATTATTCTACCTATTTATTTGACTAACTGACCAAAAAATCTTGAGGAAATTTTTCGATCCTTAATGAAAATCCCCTTTCTTTTCTGAACACACATACATATATTACTCAACTAGTAGAAGACAATGATTGTGATAGAGAAAGTGAAGAAACAGGAGGAAGAAAATTGATGGTTTAAAACAATCCTTCTAAAAATATCTTTAAAGTATTTATGTATATGAATGATAAAAAGTATATTTTATATGAGAGTGATGAATTTTGAAGTGAACCAGTAAGACAAATTAAGGTCAACTGATTAAAAGTAACCTATGAAAGTAAGGTCTTACTTGACTTAATGAAGTCTGAGACACATACATATACATTCATTTGTGTAATAGAAAAATGACATTTTTGTTATTCTGAATAAACAGACTTTCATTTAGTGTTATAAATAGTTAACACTATGATGATAGTTGTTTAAGGATGCCATTTCTCTATGGGATGAGAACAAAAGGAAATTAAACAACTTACATAATGATAAATGAATGACTAAATCCTTAACATAAAAGTTTCTTAAAATATGGGTGTTACTTGTGAAGAAAACTACCAGGTAGATTAACAATCACCAGTTTTGTTGTCATATCAATTCCCTACAGAAGTAGTTCATTTTGAAATATATTATTTTCGAATCTCTGACCAAATATATAAACAATGGAGGAACCTGGATCATTCAGGTACTTAATAGCTAAGTTCAAATTCACCACTATCAGGAATTGTAGTTTACGGACTTTTTTTCAATATCTAATAAGCGAAAACAATATCATCCACAATCTAATAACAACTTACTTCTTTATTAAATTTATTTAATTGTTGTAAATCATTTGGTTTATGATTATGGAAACAGTGTACTTTTTTTGAGAAAACTTTAAAAGAATTATGGTGAAATACTCTTAAATCTTTTAAATACCAGATAGTTCATATATAATTCGGAGACTTCTTAACTATGATTTCGAATCTGATTTGTTCTCACTATTTCTGCTTAAAACACTAATTTTGCAATGACAGAAAGAGAAATTTTTCACTATCCAGAAATATATTCTGTAATCGGTTTGTATGAAGAATTTCCAAATATCGGAACGTGTTAATACATGTCAAGAATAATGATGACTTTTCGTCATGTTGTAATCTTTTTCGGTAGTTATTTTTACTTATCTCTCTACTGCTTTATACATACCTTCTAATATTGTTTTCAACCAGTATTGATTTCCAACCTAATGGTTTAAAAGAAACGTACTGGCCATGAGACCTAAATATCCTGACCTCAATACCCGGAAAGACGAACACTAGCACATCACTGGATTATCTCAGACTAAGTCAAAACGATTGTTTTCAATAGTTTGCTGACATATGAAATTCTATGACAAAGAATATTTTCAAGAGTGAACATTACTTGTTTATCTACGACTATGATTTAGTATATAAGACAATAAGAACACTTAATAATAACAATAAAATCATTCTCATTCAATGAAACAAAATTTTATGAAACAGCTAATACAATAGGTTTCTTTAAAATCATATTAAACATAAAGAGTAAAAGTTATATTCTAGTTAACCACAACTACTGAAATACTGTCAAAGTCATACAGAATGTTAAAGATAAATAAATAAACGATTGTTATGCATATATTTTTCTTAAGATTAAGTTGAATTCATTCATTTCCATAGTTAAATTCATTCTCAGTTGAAAATGGCACTATTTTTTTTCACTAGAATTTAGATAAAAATTAGTAGAACAGTAGATGAACAATTTTTCTAACAAGTATGCAAACATTTTAGTGAGTGAGAACACAAGTGGGAACAATCAAATGTGTTTGAGTACGAAACTACAGAATCTCTTGGTAAATTCTAAGAATCATCAATTGTCACCGACTATACCGTTCTTTTATTTTTATATCAATCGCTCTATGTTCTCGTTTTCTTCTCTTCGATCTTCTCAACCTTCTGCCGTCAGGCATTCCATTTTCGTTTGATGATACATACAACTTATATGTGACGACATCAGTAGAACACACTATAGCAACTATCCTACAACCAATTTCGATTATGGTTAATTTTGGCTAAGCCCTTTTATTAACTTACTTAACAGTAACAATTCGTATATTTCTTTGTACCGTTATGATCACTAAATCACATGACAGAATCTATCTAAAAGGTTGATAGCTTAAATATCACTCAATGATTCATCCTTCTCCCCATGTATATATGTACTCAAATTCTATTATTCGTCCTTGCTGTGCCCTGACGCAGTTTGACTATAAATTCACCGATGTAATTACCCGTATATACTTATTCGCCTCTCTGCTTCAAACTCACTTGATGTGCTTATAGCTTTGTGATCTGCGCTATCTGCTAATGAACTGCGGTTGCCGCTTCTCATTACATTCTGATTTCTAAACAGCATTGAGATTTATATTATAACGGTTATCGGGGTGATCGATTAACCAAGCAAAGACACTACAACACCATAACACTATTTATTCATTCATTTATTCACTCATCACATAGTGATTTAACTTTTGCTCATGCTTCTGTTGTACAACATTTCATATTCAAAATACATTCTTCTTTTCTAATTTTCCAGTTATTAATTTAATTATTAATTTATATTTAGACGTTAAGTCCTGGGTTCGAATCTCACAAAGCGAGATCGTGGATGTGCATTGCTAAGGAGTCCCACAATAGAATGAAACGGTCGTCATGATTTCAATTATTGAAATTTATATTAGATTTATTACAAAGAGTAATGTTAACAAAAATAAATTGAGCATATATTTATTCTTTAAAATAGACTGGTAGAAATTGATTAAATAAAACAAGGATTGATGATTTTTTCCTATATTCCCACTTGGAGTTAATGGAATTCTTTAAAATCTGTTCACTTTTGTTCTCCTCATAGATTGATAATAAAAAAAACGTTTTTTTTACGCAAACTATTCTTTAATTAATTGTTTTACCAATAATGATTTTTTTTCTTTTTAGTGAATTCTATCTTCGTCATGATTTTCGAAGTTAATTATCAGTTGTCAATTAATTATGTACATAATAGAAAGATGTCTATTGAATATTGATTTGCATAAATAAATGGCACAATTCGATATGGGTTTTTTTTTCTACAAAAAATCTATTTATGTTTATTTATGATTAATATCTTGGTGAAAACTTTATTCAAGGAATTTAAAATATTATGTAAATAGGACAGTTAGAAACACAGTTCAAGCTTATACTTGAAAGAAAATAATCGGTTTTCTAATAAGTCATTAAGTCAGTAAGAATTAAATGACTTATATATCGCTGAAAGAGTTAGTAAGATAATGAATGTAGGGTCAATAAATGAAATATATAAATATACATGCATGATAAATAGAATAATTAATGATGATGATGATGATGTGTTTTTGATATCTGGTTCAGTAGAAAACTGAAGTTTTGAAGTTTCAAGACTTAGTCTATATCGATTTTTCGGAGAATAAAACAAACATCCATTATTTAAAGCATCATAGGAATCATGTGGTGTGAAACAAAAGACACTGATAAGTAACTAAAATCGTTTTGCTTTCAAGATTAATAAGAAATCGATACTGTTATTTATAAGCAAATATTCAGCAAATAATCCTTATACTTATTCAGTATTTACCTGGCTAAAATACACTAGTAATGAAGAACTTATCTGTTAACTATGATCATTTGCAAAATAAGCAAATCAGAATATAATACGTAAATCGATCAAATGGCTGAAACTCCTCTAGAAGTAAATCATCCACTTGATAAAATATAATTATTTATCATTTTGTGTCTAGCCTGAAATTATGTTGTGTGGTGGGTGTGGAGCACCATATGAAGAAATCTCATTAAGAGAAGTATAAGAGAAAAAGTGAGCTGACAACTCAGTAAGTATATATGATGCACTTGATATTAATAATAATAAAACCAACCCATAACAATTGAGAAAAACATTGGTGAGAGGTTAAGGCAATCCAAAAATCAACCTATAATTCAGTAGAGTAAGACTTTGAATTCACTACAGTATTATCGAAAGTGAACATAACTGTGCTATTGAATAAATAATCAAGAAATGCATTTAGGTTGCTTCGAAAGTAACAATCCAATAAAAATAACAGCAACAAATTTTTATTCATGATAAACTATAATCTTAGAAGCAACATTGGCATAGTAATAAAGTAGACATCGTTCATATTAAAACAAAAACGTGTTTATGCAGTCTTTGTTTTGTTTTTTGCTTGACATTTGCTTGTTAGTTTTCCAATCATATTTTTGTC